ATGATCTGACAAAATTGATACGAGTAGCCACTTAATATGCACAGTCATCACAGAAAGTATGAAGTTGTTGCGAGCTTCCGTTCATAAGATATCGTGTTAACAGAAAACAAAAAGTGGATTTTCAAAATGGCATATCTTAATCATAATATTAAAATCTTCGCTTAGCTATGCTACGCTCCGATAATTAAATATTGATCACTAGATAGCGCTTTTGTACTGGTCAGCCATGTTGATCAAGGGTTATGACTTCCAAAACTACACTTCCGTCACTTATTCATGTTTTGCCGTTACTTTTTTTACCAAAAATCAATATGTAGTTAATCTCGTTTAATTTACATTAGAGCTATTAATTTTTATATCTTTTGTTCAATAATGGACGAAGTTAAACAGGTAAGTCTGACTGTAATTGTTTTATTTTCATTATTCTTTCTTATAGCTTTTGGACAACTTTGTAGGTTTAACGGAATCGGAACTAGAAGCGTAAATTCTAGTCTGTTTTTTGTTAGATAAATTGGACCTCTCTCTGAAATTAAAAAAAAAATTTGGACATGCATATTGAACGAATGAGAGAGACTGAGTTTCACGCGTTTGTATTATTGGGCAACAAAATGAAATGTAACCCGGATTGAGATATTTTGCGAGGTTTTGATATGCAGGTTGATCAATTAAAAGTAGTTTTTTTGCAACTTCAATGTGAACAAGCGCTGGTCAAAGTGGCCCAACATTTGGTCATTTGAAATTGGAAATTGCCGTGAGCTAACTCAGTGAGGAAATTCATTAAGTAAAATCGTTCTATGCGGAGTATTTTGTCTTGATAGTCACTCGACTTTATTAGCTAGTTGTGTTACTACTCCTTGCAAATAAGTCATTGTTTCATTTAGGTTTTCTTCGGTCTGATGTAGTTCTGAGGTTTGCTCGAATGGACCATTACAACTACACTTAGCCCTCTCTGCTAATCTAGCTGACTGAATTTAAGTATTTTATTTTGTGGGTTTTGAAGAGTAACCTTATACTAATTTGAGACAACAGTTTTTCCTTCGCCATACTAACAATAAACTCCTCAGGTGTATTTACATCAATTTGTAGACATAACTCTTGAATTTCATATATAAAATTAATTGAAGGCTGACCTGGCATTTGCCTAGCTAACTGAAGTTGTTGGCTCAAATAGGGCCGATAGTCGCAGGACATAGTTCAGCGATCATAGCAGCTTTCAATTCAGTATAAGTGCTGGGTTTAGGTTGATTTGAACTGAAATTTCTATATTTCTATTTCTATGAGGTATACTATCTTCTTGCTGTGCCATCTAAATAAGAAAGTAAGGTCTTTGAACATATCATCCTGGCTCCATCCTAAAGCTTCGGACGTATATTCAAAGTTGGTAAACCAATCAATGATATTAACTTGTTTTTCATCTCCAGTGAAAAGAGATATTGTTACAGGCATGGTTGGATATGATAAAGTACTAGTAGTTTCGGGTGCACCAATATTAGGGGTAGTCCTAGAATAGGGATTAAAGAAGCTCAGCATGCTTGCAAATAAGAATACCACTCACCTTATTCCTGGCGTAGACCAAACAAGGACTACAGAGGACGGAAGGGCGATTAACTATTGGCTGGTAACTCGATACACTAACGGCAAGCAGCTGACTTAAGCGGTGACGATTATTCAGCGCATCTCGGTTGAACCTCCAATTGTAAGAATCCCGAGGAATTTGACGAAGATTATTTGCAGAGAAAACGTTTATGTAGCTAGAGGACAAATGAAAGTTAACAATTATAGGGATACAATGAACTTGGTTACATATATTGAACCATAATTTGATTAATTAGAAGTTGGTCATGCATCACTGCGCTTTATTCAGCCAATTTCGAGTTGACCAGTGATAAAATTTTACAATAATTATCATGATCAACCAAACATTACTAAATATTCATTATTTAAAAAAAAACTTCAAAAAATCATAATTGATAATCGATGAATAAATTATTTTTATTTGTTACAAAAAGAAAAACTCAATCACTGTGTACCTGTGTCATTTTGAAAATATGACATGAAAAAGTATAAAAAACATGAAGCATTAATTACTACTCATTCGATTTCATCATTATCCACATATCTAAGAGATTGTTTCTCAACTGATTAGAGTTATCTGTATAAAATTCATTTCTCTAGCTCCTCCAAAATATCCTTAATATAGGGCCGTTCCGATTGAGCCATACGTTGTAAGATTGACGAATCGAAGATGAGCAAGAACAATCACCATCGAGTCAAGTGTAGCATCATAGACAATCTTGTTGACACCCAGAACCCAATAAAGACCAGAGATCTTGTTTCTCAATAGTGCACGTTTGACGAATTGCATTCTCAAATTATTGCACCCACTTGTTGCGACCATTTTCCTGGATGAAAAAAGAAAGCAAAATAAAAGAAAATTGATGCTATGTTAGAATACTTTCCAGATTAAGATCGTAATTAGGTAGAGGTAGGGGTAGAGTTAAAAGTAAAGGTAAGAGTAAAAGTCACATTCGAAGGTACAGTTGAATGTACATGTACAGGTACAAATAAAAGTAAATGTAAAAGTGAAGGTGAAAACAAATACATGTAAAGCTAAATATAGTGAACAGATGCAGTTAAATGTAAAGATACATTTAAATAAACATGTAATAGTAGAGGTTCGTTACCTGTACATGTACATGTAAAACTAAAAGTAAATGTAAAAATAAAGTTAAAAGCAAATGTACATGCAAAGGTAAATGTAAGTCCACAGTTACAGATAAGTAAAAGGTACATTAAAATGAACATGTAATAGTAAAGGTACCTTTACCTGTACATGTACATGTTAGTGTAATAGTATTAAAAGGTAAAAGAAAGTCTGAAAGAAAGAAAAAAGAAGAGGGAGGGACAATAGTATAGGCAAGACGAATATTTAATATATAGGTGAGGGCATGCGCAATGTTATATAGGAAAGGGTAACCAAAGGAATAGTTAAGGCTAGGTAAGATGGAGAGAGGAAAGCGTAATGAAAGATAAGGTTATCTAACATTCACCTTACCTTTACGCACCTTTACTTTACATCATCTTACCTTAACCTTATGTAAGATAAGGTTAGGACAAGTTAAGGAAAACAGCATAGGGGTAAGGCCGGCAGGAAAATGTAAGGTAACGGTAAAGGTAAGATGCAACAGTAAGGAAAGGAAAGAGGTAAAGCTAACATAAGGTACGGAAAGAAAGGTTAAGGTAGAGAAAAGTAGAAAAGAAACGGTGAGAAAGGCTAACTATTTGCAAAGAGAAAGCAGAGGAAAAGGTAAAAAAAGGTAGAGGAACGGTTAAAAAAACTTACTTTAGATAATGTTGGTGTTGGTGCTCGTGAAAAAAGAACAGAAAAAATTTATATTTATAAAATAACTTGATATCAAAAGCATACTTTTTTGTTGGTGTTTATAGTGTTGCTGTTGCAATTTGTATTGGTACATTTTTCAACGAGTACATCAAAATTAACTTGAAGTACCGATTTGAATCCTGCTCGTTCTTTTTCCATGCTATAACCTGAAGCTTTCCATGCATAATAAAGCATATCTCTATAAATTGGATTAATGTTAAATAAGTTTTCAAAAAATTGCCTTAACCTGGTTTCGTACCAAAAACATAAGCCTTTGTAACCTACTTAACCACTGCGCCACCGCATTTTCTGAAATTACGTAACTTTATTTTACATTAAATCAAAAATGGTCCAACTTTAAACCCAAAAATCTAAAGACCAACCCAATTTACAGATAAAAGATACTTGCTTCGGTTATGAGGAGAGTTGGCCCTATCGATTGCGCTATGTCACATCAAAATCCCTCAGGTACGGTTCGCACCCTTCCCTTGTCAGATAATTGTTTCATAAGGTTCAAAAATAGTTCCGCATTAATTATCATATGCATTCAACTTAATCAATATGTCAATTAAAAAAATGTCAGTCCATACGCAACGGTAAACACCTTCGACGTTCCCTCCTTTAACTTGGCTTTTAATGTGATTGATATTCTTTCCAGATCATTGTTTTTTATTTATAGAGTGTTTTGGTTGTACGCATTGGATGCGGAAGCAAAAATCGGCATTGAAACACTATTATCCAGCAATTTCTTAGAGGTTACCATTGCTGTTGTTCGCGTTTTTTCGGTATAACTGTATTCATTTTGGTTGAACAAATATTTGAACACAAATTCATTCTTGCTTTAGCTCTATTTTTGTTTTCTTTCTTGTATTGATGTTGGATACTGATATACCCTGATCCTAATGTTAAGTTTCGATGGGTGAATGCATTCAATTATCGCATCAAAAATGTTAAATTTAAGTGTTTCACCAACAAGATAACTTTTGAACTGCCGCCATTTTGTTGCAAAAATTTATTAGCTATTTCTGCGCTCAAAATTCTTGAACCATTGCATGCAAAAAAGATCGCAGCAACTATTTTTCAACTGTTTAAGCAGCTAGAAGAAGCAATCGTTAGCGATATCGAAACTGAATTAGTCGACATGCCTTCGGAAGTAGTCATTATAATATTATAATATTATAATAGTTATGCGGAAACTGTTTACCAGCCTGTTACGAAAGTAAGATCATAAATGTTTGACTTTTGATTACATCAAGAGTGCCATCGAAGCAAAAAACAAAAGGATAGTGTTTGAAGATAATTCAGCATCATTTTAAGCTGGTGAAGAGCTGCTGATGAACAATTGACGCATATATAATATGTTTCTATGGGGACAAATGACCTTACATTTTCCAATTCTCATCTCACATAAATTTAACTTATTTTGGGCATTAGACTGACAGATTTTGTCTTTCTTTTTATATTTTTACGAAATTTGCATTCCCTTATTATTTTGTTTTCAATAAATCCTAAAGCATAATAATGATTTCTGGAAACATTTTTCTGAAAACATAATACTAAAGAAATTAATTTTGTATTTTAATCAAGACTTAATCATTTCCAAGAAAACAATAAAATTTCAGACCCTTACAATATTTTCGTCATTAACAACCGATACAGTTGTCATTTCCTGAGTGCCATTTCCAGTTATTGGAACGCCTGGAGGAGCCATTTCACCCAATAAAACTAAATCCCAACTCTTTCTTGTACAAAAAAGCCAATTCATATTTATAAAACAAAACAGTACAACGAATCCAGCAGCAATATAAACAACACCAGGAGCATCATTAATTGTAGCATTGAACACCTGCGAGTAAAACATAGATGATATTAAAGGCCCAGCCGATTCGATAGAAGATAAAAGTGCATATATTTGGCCAATTTCATTGTATTTTATGATCCTGGCTATCACAGCTCGATTACAGATGGGCAATGAGCCCATGAAGCTACCAAAAGCAATACTGATAAAGAATCCAGCTTCATTCAGAATCAGTCCACGAAAAAACATATAAAGAACAAGTGAAAGACTTCCTATTATCCCTATTGCAGTATCATCTAAATGAAATTTGTGCATTAAAATTGGAGGTGTGATTATTGTCACTATTGCGGGAATTATAATTACGAATGCTGAAATGAATGAATAATATTCAGCATTCCAGTGATAAACGCGTTGAGCAAACTGAAAACCAATTGAACTTTCACCCAAGTAACCAATCAGACAAATAGCCATGCTAGCCATTGTGAATAATAAAAAGAATCGTCCATTGTTAAAAATTTGAATCTAATTTAACTTTATTGATCAAAGATTGAGACAATAACTAACTATTAAACGTAATAATTGTAATGAATAAGAAAAGCAAGAGATACTAAATCAATCTAAATACCAGAGCAACAATGAAGGTAATCGTAAATTGTACAACACATTGTTGAACCATTGTCATGTTTAACACTCACCCTTGTTGACAATTTACAATTTCATTCAATAGATGCTCTAATAAGAATCATATTTGCTAACTTCGTAAACCTTGGTCCATGTAAAGGTTTCGTAAGTAAATCGGCCAAATTATCTTCTGATGCGATGTAATTCAGATTGATTTGCTTGCTTTCAATCGTTTCTCTGATAAAATGAAATTGAATGTCAATATGCTTTGTTCTTGCATGATAAATGGGATTTTTGGCTAATTTCAAAGCACCTTGATTATCTCCATATATATCAATAGTTTCAACATTAACATATACGTCTTTCAATAATCTAGTCAACCAAATTGCTTCCTTCGCTGCAGATGTCAAAGACATATATTCTGCTTCAGTTGTTGATAAAGCTACCGTTGGTTGTTTTTTACTTGTCCAAGAAATCGGACTCGAACCAAACATGAATAAATAACCTGTGAATGACCTTCGATCAATTTTATTACCACCCCAGTCGGCATCAGCATATCCAATTAATTTTGACACAGATTCATTTGCAGTCAATTTAATACCCATATTACTCGTATATTTGAGGTACCTAAAGACTCTTTTAACTGCTAACCAATGGTGAGTATCAGGTTTAGTGTTAAATTGCGATAAGATACTGACAATTATAGCTAAGTCTGGCCTAGTACAGGTGACTAAATAGTTCAATGAGCCGATTGCACTTTGATAATTCTTAGTGAATTCAATTGATGGCTCAGTCGTTGTTGAAGGTAAGGTGCAATTTCCATCAAATGGTGTTTTTACTGGTTTACAATCAATCATATGAAATCGAGTCAACAATTCAACAATGTATCTTTCTTGATGTAATACAATTGAACTTTCTTTTTCATTCCAACTAATATTAATTCCAAGGAATTGTTCAATTTTAGTGATCATTTTCATTTCAAATCTTGATGCAAGATTTTTAAACACTTCATTGAGACATTGATAATTTTACCCAATAGCAATTAAGTCATCAACATAGAGTATGATGAAAATATCACCATCTTTTGCTTTTCTTTGATATATACATGAATCAGATGTTAAACTAGCAAATCCATTAGTTTTAAAATATTTGTCAATTTCCTTGAACCAGACCAACGCTGCTTGTTTTAACCCGTAAAGGCTTTTCTTCAATTTACAAACTTTGTTCACAGAAAATTCAAAACCTTCAGGTTGCTTCATGTAAATTGTTTCATCTAGTTGCCCATTGAGAAAAGCAGTTTTGACATCCATTTGAATCACTTTCATCTTCCGAGCCATAGCAATAGTAAGTATCATTCTAATAGAAGATAACTTGCTAACCGGTGAGAATGTCTCATCGTAATCAACATAAGGTATTTGTTTGAAGCCCTTAGCAACTAATCTTGCTTTAGCTCTTTCAATTGATCCATCAGAATTGAATTTGTAACAAAATACCCATCGTGAATCAATTACATTCATGTCACTTTTCTTCTCAACTAAGTCCCATGTTTCATTTTTGATTAATGAATCAAACTCATCTTTTGCAGCCTTTAACCAAATATCTTTATCTTCTCTAGTTTTAACATCATTCATTGAAGTTGGTGCAATAGGAGCATCGTTTTTTACAACAGTATTGACTGAAACACTGAGTTTTTCATCAAATATGATATCTCTAGTCGTCAATGCTTTACCATCTATTTCATCCCAAACTTTGTAACCCTTTTGATTTTCAGGATAACCGAGAAATATGCCGTTTCTTGTTTTTGAATCTAATTTGTTTCTAAATTCTTTCGGAATATGAATGAAACAATAACAACCAAACACCTTAATTTGATCATAATCAACTGGTTTTCCAGTCCATACTTCTTCTGGTATTTGAAAATCAATACCTGAATTAGGCCTTCGATTAATAATGAAAACTGCTGTATTAACAGCATCTCCCCAAAAATCATCAGTCATATTAGAATCATGTAACATTGCTCTAACAGTTTCCATTACTGTCCTGTTCATTCGTTCAGCAATACCATTCTGTTGTGGACAATATCTTACAGTGAGTTGATGTTGTATACCATTCATTTCAAAATAATCTTTAACCTGATTCGATGTGAACTCACGAGCATTATCTGTTCGCAATGCTTTGACCCTTTTTGTTTTCAGATTTTCAACCTTTTTTATGAACTTGATGATTGTTTCGGGTGCTTGATCTTTTGATCTTAATAGATAAACAAATGTTTTACGGCTACAATCATCGATGAACAATTGATAATATCTATTTCCACCGATTGATTCAATAGGCATTGGTCCACAGATATCACTATGTATCAACTCCAGTAACTCAGATGCTTTTGATGTTGATCGGTCAAATTTTTGTTGCTTTTGTTTGCCATACAAACAAGACTCACAAGTTTTTGTTTTTTCTTCATTGATGTTATCAATTTTCGGTATTTTACCCTCATTCATGAGTCTTTTGATCGTTTCAATATTAGCATGACCCAATCTTCGATGCCATAGCATCATGTCAGAGTTTGAAACTGAAACATTGTTACATTGAATATGATTTTGAATTGAAAGGATTTGATATAATCCATTTTTCATTTCTCCTTGAATCAAAATGTTTCCTTTCGTGTCATTGACTGAACATTTTCCATTTCTGAATATGATGTTAGCTCCATTGTTATCAGCTGCTGATATTGATAATAAATTTTTTCCAAGCTTAGGTATAAGATAAGTATTTTTCAATAAAACCTTCTTCTCTTCACCTCCATATTCAGTAATTAGACTTACAGTACCAATACCAACAGCTTCAGAATTGTGATCATCAGCCATTGATACTGTAATTGGATCAATATACTCAATATCTTCAAACCATTTAACATCATTAGCCATGTGACATGAAGCACCTGAATCAATAAACCAATTGTCTTACATTAGTTTTACCAATATGAACCATTAACGCCGATACGTTAGACTCTTTAGCTTCATCCTTTACATTTTGTTCATCTTTAACCTTCTTACGACAGTCTCTAGCCCAATGGCCAGGTTTTTTGCAATAGTTACATGATCCAGGTTTTTTATTGTTACCTTTGTATTTATGTTTATTCTGATTTTGTTCATTAGTCTTACCCAATGATTGGACACGAGTCAATAATGCATTATGTTTATCATTCATATTTGAATTGGAATTGATTCGTCTTTGATATTCTTCGATAACTCGACCCTTAACAAAATTAAAGTCAATTTCTGATGAACCAAATTGAGATTCGAGAGATACAATTAAGTTCTCGTATTCTGATGGTAAACTTTGTAATAGCGTAATAACCAAATCATTATCATTAACAACTTGATTTATTGCCTCAAGTTTTTGCTTCAGCTCTACAATGTCATTAATATGATTCATCATATCACCAGATCGATATTTAATATTCAATAATTGTTTACGTAAATAGAATTGATTCGATAAACAAATCTTCTCGAAGTTATCACATAAACTAGTCCAAGCCTCAGCAGGGTTAGATTTATCACGAATCAAACCAAGAAATTTATCATCAACGTTTAGAGCGATTATTCGTATCGCTTTCCTTTGTTTTTTCTCAAATATTGCCCTTTGTGGATACTCAATTTGTTGATTCTCTCCATGATCGCCATTGACGATTGACCATAGATCCAAATCTTCTAAGATCAACCTGATCTTATATTTCCAATTGACCCAATTACTTTCATTAAGTTTGTCAATTGAAATGAGTTTGCTGTCTTCCATTTTTGATAATAATATATTTGTAAAATACGAAACAAATACTGAACCAAATTTGAACTGAAATACTGAGCGTGCTGAGCCCATAACCTGTTAAAAATTTGAATCTAATTTAACTTTATTGATCAAAGATTGAGACAATAACTAACTATTAAACGTAATAATTGTAATGAATAAGAAAAGCAAGAGATACTAAATCAATCTAAATACCAGAGCAACAATGAAGGTAATCGTAAATTGTACAACACATTGTTGAACCATTGTCATGTTTAACATCCATTGTGGTCACGCTTTTTGAAAGCCGTATTCATTGTATTGCTAACATTACGAATGTTGATGATCTCCAAAATGATTGATTTATACTCTTTGGTCCATCTTTAGAGTGAGCAGGTTTGCCTAATTCATCACGATTGTTTCTAGGTGAATCACCCGAACTAGGGCCATTGTTGTTATTCATTTCTTCTTCAGAAGTGCCAGCATCATTGAGTAAAATTGCCACCCAAAGTGCTGAAACAGCTGAACTTATTATGGAAATGACCAAAACTCCAATGTAATTACGATGTTGACCAGAAAACCAAGGTTTCAATGCAAGCACATATCCACCAACAGTTGTTGATGTAGGCATTGCTACAAGAAAAAGGAGAAATAAATATTAGACTCATTTTTACATTATTTAAAACAATCAATAAAGATATTGTCCGACAAGGGAAGTACTTGAATAACATCTCTCTAAAACCGGTGATTCAAGTATTACTTCCCTTCTGATTTGATGCAACACTATTCGTTAATTTTTGTTGCAAAAACTCTGTGTATTTGAATTTCATTTATAAAAATAACGAAATTTCAAACTGATCTAAAAAACGAAAGTAGAAAAAAACTTAATTGACTTGATTGAAATACCGATTGAATCGTGAAAATCACCAATCTAAGCTCTTCGAAATTAAACCTTTCATTAAAAGCAAGTTTACTTACCCAGCAACATGAAAAGCTCTAAAATTGCAAATCTAATTGCTCGATATTTTGGCGGTGTTTTCCTGGTTATATACGTATAAGTTCCAGTAAGGATGCAAACCATGGAACCACTCAATGCGGCTGGTATATTTGTGTACAATAATGCAACTGGCTCTATGACAAAAAAAACAAAATGGCAATTAAAATAGGAAACAATATTTACAGTTGTGCAAAAACAAAAAATGAATCAGTTTCTCTTTAAAATTATATGATTTTCTTTTATGACCATTAAAACGGAAAATTTATCTAATTAAGTAACTTGCTCTCTGTTTGTTGTTAATTGCATGCAATTGCGCTTAAAACGAAAGTCAAGTCAAGATCATTTCGACTTCAAACTCTAGTTTAATCTTGCAAGTTTCTGGTCTGAAAAATTTGGTTCTACTATGGTTATAGTTTGATATTTCTAGTGTCGTTAAAACTTTTAGAGCTTATATTGTAGAGAACGAAAAATAATTAGACACATAGTTTTTCTTTTGTTACGCTAGTGGCCAGTTGACGGTATTTGGGCACTTTGCATTGAAGATAACATTGCAGCCACTGACAAAAGCAGCTCGGGCGTTCCAATAGTTTCTCTTGTGAAAAGTAAAAATGAAAACATATCTTAATGAATATAGTTCATCGCTTTTACCTGCAATAGATAAAAGTGAAATATTATTAAAAACGCACTAGCGTAGCAAAAAAAAATAGATTTCATTAAAAATCAACTTTTTGACTTTGCAACGTATTGCACCCTGTGGCTTCATATTTCTTTCTTCCTAGGTTATCAAAAATGTAACTTTGACTAATTGTCTTATCGAAATCGAAAAGGATCCAGATTGGAGCAAAGGACGAGTAAAACGTAGTGAAATAGTTTAGAGTCATACTTATGTCAAAAGCAAAACACTGATAAATTGTAATCAAATTTTGCAGGATTCCACAGATTGGACCAAGTGTGAGCATATACCGAATGTGACCTGGATAAGTATCAACCCAATAGCCCAGGAAAAGTGAAAAAACAATACCAGGTACTGTGACTATAATTGTTGAGTACATTTTAAGGGTTGTTGCATCTTCCAAGACCATGTTACGGATTGGAGTGTAGGAGTCATTGGTATGTGTCTCCAGCTCCAAGCAAATTGATTCATTAACTGAATAGGTATTCATACAATACTTATCCTGGGAAAGTTGAGTAACGGTCACTGATGGTATGTAAAGGGCGAAAATAGTCAACATGAAGAACACATCAATTCTCAAGAGTTTAACCAACTCCAGCAATTCCTTGGCAGTTAATTTGACCATATTTGAACTTAATGAAAGTGATGTGAATTAATGAAATGATCACTGGTCGGAGACTTAAATTTTGAATGATTATAAAAAACAAAAGTTAAAAACAGTAGATTAGTTGAAAGATGAAGTTGATGTTTCCATTTGTAATGGAAAATTGATTTTAGCTATATTTCAACTGTTGGTTTTACTAACAAAACTTTCTTTGTAAACAAAACTAGACAGGTCAATGGGAAGTAATTTTGTTTTAAATTGAAATTGGTTGATTTTAATTGCATTTATTGAAACTTGAAGTTTGAAGCGAAAGGCATGCGAAAGGTAATCTGGATCTTGTATCTCGGTAGATCAAGTTAAACCAAGGTCTATGAGGACATGGGTAAAGTCAATTTTTCCTTTCAATTGATTTATCAGCAAATGTTACTATAATTAAATAACGATTGCGAAGTGATATGATAGTTAGATGCACTAAGGCAAAGCGCTAAGCTACTCACTAGATTAGATTCCCTATATTCATTAGATTAATTCAGGTTTCACCCTCGAGTTTATATCTCACAGCTTATTGTTGCAGTAATACTTAAGCAATTGTTTTTGATTGTTAGCGTAATGACTCTACATTTAATAAACAGCTCTTGTAGTCAAAATCAAGATTGGAATTGTATATAAATGTAATCAAATGAACAAAAAACTCAGCAATGTGTACCTAATAATGTAGCTTATGGTTCAAGATTAACTGTCGATTTCATCATTTTTTTACTGAAGCAAAGCAAATAATTTGTATCATATTGAGCATATGATTAACCTTAAATTGATGTAAATCGTGGAAATTAAGGTTTATGTATCAACCTAGAATTTTTATGTAATCAGCTGAATTTAAGGCAAAATTTGTCAATAAGTCTTGTACAAATGACTATAGCTCCGTTTTGCCTAAGAATCATCAGTCTAGTCTTTATTTAGTTTAACATTTCATTCGTGTGCTTTTTAGTGGACAACGATCAACCATGACAATTCACGATAAATCAATGGAAAATTATTTGATGAACAGTAGTTCTACAATTGATTTATCCGATTCTTTCACAGTAACTTGGTCTAGCTTAACATATCGTTGTTACCCAACAGCAATGCAAAGATTGACTAACAGTGTTAAAGGTGACCGATCAACGTTTGGATGTAAAACAATTTTACAAAATTGTAATGGTTCTTTCAGATCGGGTCGGTTAACAGCAATCATGGGTCCATCAGGCTCAGGTAAATCAACTTTGTTGGAGTGTTTGGCAGGAGTCAGAAAAGTAGATCAAGTTGACAATATAAGGTTACACGGACCCATTTCCCATGTTTCCCTTTCATTCATACCTCAGCAAGATCAACTGTTTGAGCGGTTGACTGTTCGAGAAGTAATGACTTATGCTGCTAGATTACACTTTGTTTCAAGGCAAAAGACTGACTATGGCAAAATAAAAACTGAGATTGACCAAATTTTAACCCAATTGAACATCTTTGACTGTGTAGACCAAATCATTGAAAATCTTAGTGGAGGTCAAAAAGGAAGACTATCAATAGCCCAGGAACTAATTGCATCGCCTGAAATAATAATGATGGATGAACCAACATCAGGTTTAGATTCATCGTCAAGTTACTCTTTAATTGAATTGCTGGTTAAACTTGCTTCCTCCTTGTCAATAGCTATTGTTATTACCATTCATCAACCCTCGGCTCGACTATTTAACCTACTTCAAGATGTCTACATGTTTTCCTACAATGGCAAGTTCATGTTTGAAGGTAAACCCGATCAAGTGACATCGACTTTAAACGCAGTTGGAATTAAATTTGACTCTTTTAACAATCCAGCTGATGTGTTGCTTGATGTGGCTAATGGTGAATATGGTATTGAAGTGATTGAAACACTTACCAAAAAAGTGTCAAATAAAAACAATCAGAGTTACCCATGGAAGAAGGACAAACCTTTAGCCAGTTGTTTAATGAACTACCGTGGTGCTTTTAAAGATCATTTATGTATACTAATATCACGTCAATGTTTGATCAGCATCCGTGATAGACTATCCATATTACTGAAATACTCAGTCGCTATCAGTTTGGCTCTCCTGGTTGGCATTAGTTATTATAACATAGGAAAGAGTGATGGATGTTTAACGGAACAAATTCGTACATGGTTAAACTTGGATAAAATTGGTCGTTTATTTGAACGTATTACAGAATCGTCAAACAAAACTCGAGATCACGTTGGTGCTTTTTTCTTTCTCTTTGTCTTTATAAGCATAACCGCTGCGTTATCTCCAGCTGCAGCTTTGCCATTTTATGCCAAAGCAATACGTAAAGAGTGTTCAAATAACTGGTATGGACGAACATCTTTCATCGTGGCCTTTATCATTGCTGATTTACCGTTCCTCATACTGTCAGTGACACTTTCTTATGCCATTTTTTTCATTCTGAGCAATCAACCTTTGGATCGATTCTTTTCTTCTCTGTTTATATACATTTTGGCCGCAATGAACACACAGGCTCGAGGTGTCATTTTTGGATCACTATTTATTGACAATATGCTTTCATCTGTACTCTTGTCTCCCAATTCAACCATCTATGATACACTTTTATCTGGATTTTTGATTCGCATCAAGGAGCTTCCTCGTATTTTACAGATCTTTTCAAGTATATCGTTTGCAAGGATCAGTATGGATGGAGTTATCGTCGCTATTTTTGGCTTTAAAAGGTATGTTGAACGAAAAAAATACCATTTGATTGTGAGTTATCTTTACCTTTTACCAGATGCACCATTGATTTGTCTAATGCTATTGAAGTCACGCTCAATCGTATGATTGATTTTTTAGACACTAATTTCAAGATAGCACGAATTACTATTCAAAGATGGACAAGTGAATATGAATTACAAGCTTTGAAAAATTCAACAGATTCAATTGCCAACGTTTTCAAAGATGTTTATAAAAGCCATTTGGATGAAAGTGCCGATTCCAGTGTAATGAGACAATTTAACCTGACAGACTCAATATACACTGAATGCGTTTGCAAATTATTGGTCTTGTGTTTGATTACACAAATTTTCGCAGTCATAGCTTTTACGTGGCGAGGATGCAGGAAAAAATAATGTACCAAGTACGTCAATAAGTAAATAATTTCAAGTTATTTTCGACGGGTGTAAATTCAAGTTTATTAATGGATGATAATGAGCAAATTTACAAGACTAGCAATCAAAAATCATTTTGTTAAAAAGAGTACAAAAAACTGTATTATACAATAATAATGATTTGGTACAAAATTAATGCACCGATGGAGGAGATAACGATGGTTCAAAGTTGAGCTATGAAATGGCGTAGTTTTGCTTTAGTCATGATTATCACCATTTGTCGAACCGACGAAGAACATCAATCACAATTCTGTTTATGTAGTAACCAGATTGAATTCCGTATGTGAAGTCCATATGATTCCATTTCTTAAATGGCACCAGATAGTCAAGCAATAATGGACCTGTAATGATTGAGAAAGTTAGAAACATTGAGCAAATTGTAACTCTTGAGGCTAGCAAGATCTAAGTTTAAATCACCTTTAAGAATCGACTTTAGTATGGAAACATCTTTAGGGTCAGCTAAAAGGTCATTTTTTGAGTAAAATAGTGCTATATTTGTTGAATTAATCTTTTCCAAGGGATACTTTGGAGGATTAGGTGAACCATATTTACGTAAATTGCCTTTTACTCCAAAGTCATATTTTAATAAAGCGGTTGATTTAAGCAGCTGTGAAAAATGGACAATATTCCAGGTCGATGTACCGGCTGGTAAGTGGGCAGCATAGACCGGTAAACGGGTCATATTGAGTTGCTCCGAATCAAATCCCATAAGCATAAATACAATGTCAGTACAGATGAAGTGAAATTTCGGAGTACAGATATGTTTTTCAAGGTGCTTTATCATCCCACTATTTGGTAACAATTCTTCTGCGTGCTTTTTAAAATAGTCTACAATAGGCTTGATCTTAGATAAAAGTCTTATTGGCGATTTTACGTGGTCAATTCGAGCAACTGGAGCTAAGGCAATGAAAGGTTTAACAATGTTTGAGTATTCAGGTTTGCTTGCAAGTAAGCCAAACATCATGAGAGTTCCTTGGGAATGTCCAACCCAGCCAAGAGTCTCTAAGAATAACACATGAAAGATGCATATTGAATTATCAATAGGATGGGGAAAAATATTAACAGAGATTAAAAATAATCTTCAACATTAAAAATGAAAAGCACTCAAAAGATCACATGTGTAAAACTATCATGTTTATTAGATCACTACAAAGAGTAAAGGAAGTGACTTCCTTTACTCTTTGGATCACTATGATGTCAATATGATCCAGATAAATTGATCCAGAGTAAAGTAACTCTTTAATCCAAATCCGATTAGAAGATATTTTATGCAATTTTTTAAAAATGTCTGTAGGTTAATTGGTAAATCATTAGTAAATGACGTTTTTGTTAAAATAGGATTTGAAATGACTTCGTAATAATTTTCAACCTGATCTTCATCAAAATGTATCCCCCGCAGTGACAATTCAACTATCTTTTCAACTTACCTTGTTTAGTCTCTTTCAAGACGTGATTTATGACAGCTGGACAATCGTAAGCGACCATCTCATCGAAAGTGAACTGCCAAAATTCTGAATCTGTAAACAAGCAGGAAAAAGGTTGTAGATAACAAAAATGGTGTTAAAACAAAAAAACAGTTATTCCATTTTAACCCTTTAACATCAGCTGATGTTTACAAATGTGAGAGTGATATGCACACATATTTTATTGTTTACACAACATGGATCAAGGTTAAATAAGGATAGTCCCAATTATCACTCTCTGTTTATCATCAGTCGTTAAAGATTGTTAAATTAAGCTGTTAAATGTAAAATCTTCAAGGTTGGTAATAATCATCACCATCATTAGTATCATTCTTGGTTACATGCAGTTTTTCCTTAATCGACCTAACCAGCTCAATGACAAAGTTGGAGCTAATTCAATCAATACATTCAATCAGGTACATTTAGCTTGAAAAAATCCAACTAAACTAGCTGTTAGCAATTGATTAGTGTTATGTTACTAATCGTTCGTTTGCTTGGCATCTCGTTAACTGATTGCTCTTACCTTTATCTGGATCAAGATGTGTATGATTTCGTGAATAGACATTGCCACGAGTGTTAGATATCCAAACATCATAACCAAGATTTGCTAAAACAAAACCCAAATTGTTGGCAACTGTATCATCAATCGAGTTATCATAAATGCTGTTGAAATCATTGTCAATAAAACCCCGGTCAACCCATTCTTTAATTGACCCACCAGGGGATGCGATGAGGAAATCAACTCCACTGGCCAATAAACCGTGTTGTAAAACAATTGGTCTCTTTTTGGAAACCAGATTAACATCAACCAATGGATTAATTATCCTAAAAACACTTAAAATGTAACCATCTTCAGTTGTAATGTAATGGCGTTCACAACCAAATCCTCGCGATTCAATCAACTGGGCTATATCTCGATCTTCATCTGGATCAACTGTCCAGGTTAAAACAAAAGAAAACTGCACAATAATCAGATAGATTAATCCTAATTTTGGTAGCATGATGATTCAAATTGAGTTCACAAGCACATCAAGATGTATTAACAATAACAAAATTATAAATGGGCTTAGGTTTGGTCAGTTTACTTGTTTAATTTGAATTTTCAAAAGATGTGTTATTTTATTCTTGATTGCTCCGAGACTAAACATGTAATCGTTGCTCATTCAGCAAAATCAAATTTTAATCAAAACTTGGTTTAAACATTTAACTTAAAGGGAAATACCTTAAATAGTTTCAAGGTTAAAAGAGGTAAACATTATTTTATGAAATAACAATTTTTTCATTTCGTAAGCATGTGAGAAACAAAGTCATCTTTGATTTTGATTAATCAAAAATAAAATGATCAAAATTAAAGGCACCTTATAACATCCTCAACATTATCTTGCCTCTTTAATGTCATTATTTATTCAATGTTTCAACCAATTGTTGATTGTTAGGTTTTATTGCAAAGCTTTACCATGCTAACTAATGTCTTAACCAGTCTTTTAGTCAAATTATTGGATTATTGTCAGTTAATGGTGGCTCAACAGACGACGATATTTTGTAATTCAGCATTGAACGCATGCGATTAAAACTAGTTATTTAAATCTCTGAAAAGGTACATTAGCAATTAAATCTAACATGGCGAACTAATAGTTATTGATAGAATTAAAAGAATTAATAGAATTAAAAATAGCGCCCTAAAAGATAATCAAATGACGTTAGAGTGCTCTTGAAACTTCGACTGATTCAAAAACTGCCCCAAGCAACTTAGTAATTTGATCGTCAGATTGGTCATAATTCAATTAAAATCATAAAACTTAAAAAATTGACATTGCGAAAGATTCCAATGAATAATTTAATTTATCAATTAAATAAAAGGTGAATGTGACTTTCATGAAAAATTTCCATTATTGTGTTCCAAAATTGTTTCTCAAATTGTCGAAATGTTTCAAGTTGTTCCACAATTACAGAGGTTTGGTTCCTGGATAGTAAAAAGGTTTCCTCTTGAGGCCATTATACTTTTAGCAGTCGTGTCGTGCTCTCTTCTGGACTATTGTTGCTGGCTTAAATAATACTGCAATTGTCTCATTCAATAACGCACTGGTTCAACTCGATTCTTAAATTGGGCGCTTTTATCGACAAATGGTTTACGCTTATGGAATAACATAGTTCCAACAATAAGGATTATCTAAAGAAATGGGGGAAAATTAATTAGTTATCGCTATTAATAATATCAAATGATTGTAATTGTTCATCACTAAATAATACTAACCAGAAATACTGATAAAAGGACAATGAAAACGCACGCTTCAGGGAAATTGAAATGCTCGACAAGATAACCTCCAATTATCGGACCAAGAGCGGTTCTAGAATGAAATTAGATCATTAGTTGAGTATTGATTGACAGAAATCAAATTATTTATAAACTCACCCAAGAGCATAGGCTGAAACAAAAAGGCTACTTATTATAGAACCAGCGCCAACGTCTGATTTTAAATCTGATAAACTGAGAGGGAAAATGGTTTCAAATTATTCATAAATATACACTAAATTTACATTCATTTTGTTCATTTATCAATTACTCACTCTTTTTCCCGCATGGCTTGGGTAAAGTTTGCAACAAAGCAAACAGCCATACCCATTCCATAAAAGATCTGTGACAATACGACCAATGTAATACTCCTGGAAAGTGTAAAAAGATTTTATTCAACTGAACTTGGACATGAGTTGGGAAACACTAATATTGGACTAAATAACGAACTAAATAAGCTCGTTTTGGGAAAGTACAAAACTTACGGTTTGATCGGCAAAGGATAAATTGGCCCAACAATTATGAAAGCAATCACCATTGCTACATTACCAATAATGCTCATAAATGTAAGATCTTTAAATTTAGGCACAATTAGACCAACAATCCATGTGAAAACGCCATAGAATAATCCTGATAACAAGAAAATAAGGCCAACTGCTGTGGTTCGAAGTTTGGCAAACTAAAATGCAAAATTAGGTAAATTTTAAGTAAATTACGATTTGACTAATGCTTTAAATATTATGATACATACACTTCTTATATGAGGTTCCAGCATAGATTGGTTAAAACCAAATACAATGCAAAGAGACACTGTAATCAAAATTTGTAGTGTTATGCGGAAGTTGGACAACACTTTGATTAGACCAGCGCTTTTATCATTCTTTGTGATCTCTAAATGGGTAAAAATAAATCAAGATTAATATCATATTCATGGCTCAGTTATAAGAATACAAGTCAATAGCAGTTATGGATGTAGATGCAGAACTTTCAAGTTTAACAATGTTAAGATCGAAAGACTTCAACATGGGAAATTATAAACAAATATCAAGTCTATTGGAGCTTATGCATGAATAGTTAGTATCTTTGCAAGGACAAAACCTTTTTTTTCAGTTCATAAGTCTCAGTCGTCTGAAAAAGTCAAGATAATGATAGAAATTTCCCTCTGATTAACTAAGAAAAACTTTCCATTATCATAAAATCAACAAGCAAATCAACATTTTCTCGATGATTGTTCAAGTCTGTATTATTCATGAACTCTTCTGACTTTAATTATCTTTCAGGCATCAAAAACTTTTCATCAAAAACAAAGTCAATTGTTCTGGTGTTATGATAATCATTAATATTGCAGAGTTAAAGTCTGTACTGGATCAAGCCATTGTGAAAACTTACTGGCAACTTTAGGGAAAATGCCAAAAAGAATTGGAAAAGTCAGGAAAAGAAGGGCCCCACAAACAAAAAAGGGCAAATCGAATCCACCAACCTAATTATGATACAGTTGATAATTAAAAAAATGATATAAAATGAATATTATAATAAAGTATAAAATTGTGATTATAAAGTACAAGAAAATAATAAGCACCTCATAAAGCCATCCTCCTAGTAAGGGTCCAATGATCATTCCGATTCCATAACACATCTCTACTAAACCCTGTGGAATTTTGAAAATTAATCAACTAGAAAAAATCAAAATTCGATATATGCAAATGCGCATTATAGCGATGCTTACGAATATTTGAGATATATGGTTTGGATAGTAGACAGGAATTGCGCCGTAACAAGCCGCTGATACTGCTGCTAGTCCAACTGATCCAAAAGAACGGATAAGGGCGCAAAAGGTTGTGAATGTGCTTCCATCGGACACCCATTTTAATACCCTAGAGTCGATAGAAATTTGATTAGATTTGATTCAGATTAAAAGTCAATTTTCAGGTGGTCGTTCACACATACCCAAATAGACAGATACCAGCTGAGCCAACAAAAGTTCCGGTTAATATTGTAGCTCGAAATCCAAGTTTAGGTAACTGAAAACAGAAAATAATGCGATTAGATCAATAATAACAATAATAATGATTGTGTAATTAGATAGAAAGCTTTGTCTAATCAATCTTCTTAATGACAACTATTTAGTAAACAGATAAGTGAATTGCCAATTCATGTAAGTGCTCATGAGTTGACAAAAAAATGAAAGATTTCAGTTGAAATACTTGAGATGGGCAATAAGATATTACTCCGAAAACAGGAACTCATGTACTGCCATATTTATAAAAATTTTACATAAGAGCTACAATTAAATTGTAACAATTGTTGGTGAAACAATTCATTAGCCTATTCTCATTGGAGCGAGTTTATCTGATGGTTTATTTGATGATCAGGGCAAAAATGGTAACTGGCTGACTAGAAGACGCTTTGATCTGCAACTTAAAGATTTACAATGTAATTATCCAGGAATTTTCTTTAGTTCTTAACGCTTTTCAACTGTTAACAGTTGTTTAAGAGAGATAGTAAGTAACTATAACTAATGGGAGCATTATGCAATATCAATACAATAGAAACTGAACAAAATAAGTTCAATCTTATTGGTGCTTTCATTAACTGTTAGATCGCGACTATGAAAAAAATCTCCGATTTTGCTAACTTAATGTTAGCCTGATGGTTAACACTGACGATAAGACTGCTAATCTTCATGAGTTATAATCTGCGTCTTGGGGATTGCATTAAAGAGGAGTACCCAAGGTTAAACCCCCTGGACTATCCCATCCTCCCTTCCTGATGGATTATCAGCTGAGCTGAATAAAGTCTGGGTAAAGCACATAGGTAGAGTTAGAGCTTTAAAGCTGTCGCGGCCACGCAATAAAAAGTTGTCTTAACCCTGACCACTACTGTAATTCAACCTCTCAAGTTGTCTATTGTTCGAAGGTGAATATAGCAAGTCAAATGAGTCTTAAAGATTGATTATGGTCGAAGAAAATCGCTTTAGCCTTTCAGTTGAAAATTTATGGAAAAATTGTTAAAATTGTTAACCAATTGCTAGATTGGTTATTTAAATATGCACACTTACAAATTTGCCATAGATTGGGCACAAAATGAACGCAATAACTTCTTGGATCGAAAATAAAATACCATAGACTGATGGAGATAATCCTTTGGCCTCAGCCTGAAAATAAAAGGGGCATAAGTTAATTGATCGATTTAATGTTTGTGATCGACTTACAATACAAATACAATTGCATTAAAAATCGTAGACATTTGTAGGCGCTTGGGTATAAACAATTATCAGCATGTAACAGTGATTGGAAAGCTTAAAATACGGAAGTAAAGAAAATGCATCAAACATTGCATGAAGCACATGTAACGAAAGCTGTAAAACATTGATTGTACATAGAAAATACAGAAAACACAGTTAGTTATGCAACTTGAATCCAGTATTAAGTACAAAGATAGAGATTAAGTGGATTTTACATTTTTGAGCAAAGCTAACTAAAAGAGGTACAGTTAACTTAAAGACAATGAATGCGACAATGGACGGACCAAAAAGATGGAATACAAGATGGAAATGAGCGTAACAGAAAAGCCTGAAATGCAAATAGCAATAGCCGTTAAACTAGTTAAAATAGAAGTTGATTTGAAAATTGTAAAAATACAAGGAGATGAGGTGGATCAACTATTACATGACTTACCTCTTTAGAGAAGAAGGGCGCTAAAACACAATAAGCTGCTCCCGTAATTGTATTGATAAAGGCGAGTGTTGCTATTAAAATGAAATCACGAGTTTTCAGCTTAATTGGTGACAATTGTGTAATTGCTGGTAATTGTGAATCTGATGATTTAGTCCAATTATCAGATGAACCTTGCCCAAATGTTGACTGTCGCGTTGCTACCGTAGATTCAGTCACTAGGGTTAAATTTTTTTGTAACTTAATACCGCACATTTTGAATTTTTTAATTATATTTACTCTTTTTTATTGATCTATTCACAGATAAACATTGATGATTTATTCTCGTTGGACAATTGTAATTATGAGTCTAAAAAATAAATTATTTCTCAGTTGGAAAGTTTGTTGGTAAAAAGATTGTACAAAGGTAACATTAATCATGCTGATGAAACGGGAAGAGAAGAGTATCTGTTAACCTGTTAATCCAAGTCTTTTATGGATAAATATAATCACATTATCTTTCTGGCATCTTTAATCAACAGTAATGATCAGGTGGGAGGAGAGATCATGGTAAGAAGGATGAACACTAAGTAAGTAAGAACAGAGTTAATGACCAAAAGACGTTTCGATCTTCAATTACATTACGAATACATTTTCGTCACTAACCTTCTGTTATTCATTTGCAGTCAGTCCGATTCGCATTTCAATCGAGAGCAAAGAAACCGTTAACTGTGATCTGCAGATTTAACCAAACCAATCAAAGAGACATTAATGACAGAGTGCTTGAAGTATTCAATCTCAATCAATCAATTCAATGAATAATCCATCGAGAACTGCGTTCAATTAAGATCTGTTACTTTTTATTAACAATTAGCCGATTCTAATCTGAAACCTTAGCATTCTTTTCATTCTCATATGAAAAAGGGTGCAACACTTGAAAACTTGCGGATGGATGAGGCAACAAGAAAACATGTTTCACCTTAATCACAAAATTTGACGATTATGATAATAATGAATCAATGAAACCAAAATCAGATGGGCTGCTTCATAGTCTCCATAATCTTAATCAATGTCACCAAATTTTGTGATTAAGGTAAGGCATGCTTTATTGTTACCTCATCATCTGCAAGTGTTTAAGTGTTACACCTTTAGATGTTTATACATAAATGTATTGAAAGGTATCTGATGGCCAATAATGAATTTCAGGAAATGTTAGTGTTACAGGTATTTTGACGGTCAATCATTGAAATTGAAAAGATTCTTGAATTTTTCAGGAAAACGATTATATTTCTGTGGCTATTGCCTGAGATGTATTTTAATTTAAACATGATTTTTCACTGGCTCAATTAATATTTCATTAATTGCTTAGAAACTATTAATTTATCCCACAGACAGAAAATTTTGAGCTCTAATTGAGAAGATGTTATCAATATATTAATGGTTGTTAGATTATTCCAGCTATAAATAGTAAATAGAACAGAGATAATCTGGTTTTAATTGGAATTGTTCATCATAATGACATTAATATGAGATGTAATAATAAGAATTTACAACCGATTATCAATGATAATTGAAGTAAGCCAATTGATACCTTAAATAAGATGAATGTAAACAATAAATGATTGTTGGGACAGAGCTAAATGTGTAGTTACATAATTGTTTGTCAATCGATTATACAGTCAAATATTGTATTGAGTAAACAATTGTAAAAAGTATGTAAAAGGCTGAACTAGATGAACTACCTTTGGTATTAACCTTGACTCTTGTAGGTTTATGGCTCAGGTTAGATCCAAGATAATCATAATTTTCATTTACTTTACATACCGAAAGTCGCCTTGCCAATCAAGCAAACAGTAACGCATGAATTGATGTAGCTATCTTTTTGGATGTCGTTAATTTTACTGATTTATATAATACAGGGTGACAAATGGGAACCGAACTACTTCAACTTTAAATTATGTGCTGTTTCAACCTAACTATTAGGTCAATGCAAAATTGTTTCTGAGTATTTTTATAACAAAATTATTTTTTCAATAATGACTGATTTAACTGTTGAGCAGAAAATTTACCTCATCGAGGCATATTACACTAGAGATAAATCATTTACTGCAGCATGTAGAGCCATGCATAGTAAGTTTGAAAAGAAGGACTTACCATCTGACTCAGCTCTAAAGAGGTAAGAATGAATTTTTGAAATTTTTGACTTTTATGTGAAATTTTTGTTTGAATTTTCTTAGTAACCACAACTTTTATACATTATTTTTCAGGGCTATCTATAAGTGGCTAGAGCACGCAACATTGGATGATAGATGCGCTTCGAATCCTGGCCCTGATTATAGTGTGGAAACTTTGGATGCCGTTAAAGAATATTTTGATAAAAATCCAAATGCATCGGTTCGGATGGCTGCTGCTATGCTCAATCGTGAAAGCCTACGGATAATTTTGAGAAAGTTCCTGAAGCTGCATCCAAATTCAATGCCATCAAAGGTTGGAAGAGCACCATAAAGAAAAAAGGATGAACTTCGCAAATAACCTTATTCCATTGATCCATGATGAAACTCTGCTTGTTAACAACATAATCTTTCGGATGAGAGTCATTTCTTCTTGGACAATTACGTGAACGAACAAAAATATGCGTTTTTGGAGAACAGAGCGACCATATTTCTCAAGGTCAAAATCATTACAGTTTGTGCGTGTAACTGTCTGGGCTGCGATTTGTTTGGATTTTGTTAAGATAGAAATGTTCACGAACAACATAACAGGTGAAAGTTACAACAAATTGTTGACTGAAAAGTCCCTGCCATTTGTCCGTCGAAAGGGTTTTAAGAATACCCACTGGTTTATGCAGGATGGAGACACAACCCATAGGACCAGTCAAGTCTTTTCAACTTTGCATGGTTTCTTCGGAGAACGGGTAATTGGCCTCGGATTTGCTCGTTTTTCGGGTGGAGGAATTGAGTGGCCTCCATACTCACCTGATTTGAATCCATGCGATTACTTTCTCTGGTGTTTCATGTAGGTTAAGGTTTACGCATCAGAGCCCAAAGACTTGAAAGAACTGCAAAAATCAATCGTAGAAGCGTCTAAAGCCATCACACAATAAATGCGCCAAAACGTAATAAACGGGTTTTTGCGTCGGCTCGAATGCCTCAAACAAAGTGATGGTGGTCACTTCGCAAGCATTATTCATTAATTTTGCACCTTTTTGTGATCATTTTAATACTAAGATGACCCCTAGATTTTCATTAAAAAAATTGCTTCAAAGTAGTTCGCTTCCATTTGTCACGCTGTACCAGGTTGCCCAAAAGTGACTCCTTAGCTTTTTTTGCTTATAATTTGAGTAGTTTTTCACAGAGAGACAAACTTTATATGTTAAATTGAAGCACAAAGAAGAGAATTTTTCTGAATGAAAATTTTTTATTAATCTTAGCGGATCATATTTTCGAAATGTTGACCCTCAGATGCGATCCGTTTTATGAAATTCATGATAGTTTTCCACACAATACAGTAGGTATTGAAGTAAATGAGGCTTTGATAGCATCCTGTAGTGATTCCATGTTATGAGTATGGCCTTTATAGGACTTATCTTTGGTGTAACCCCAAGTTAAAAAGTCAATTGGATTCAGGTCTGGTGAGTTAGCTGGCCAGTCCATTCCAATGCCATACTTCTTAGGGTAATCCAGACCAATCACGCGCTCTTGAAAATTATCATTGAGGACCTGCAAAGCTTTTGAAACTCTGTGTGGAGGGGCTTCATCCTGCATCCACCAGTGATCATCCAGCAAATCTTTGCTTTCCAGCTCAGGAATTATCTTCTCCTTGAGCAATTTAGTGTAAGCTTCTCCAGTTACGCTATTTTGAAAAACAATAGGGCCGATAACACCACCATAATAAATCCCCTCCCAGACAGTCACTCTTTTTGGATGAAGAGGTTGAACAGCAACAAAATTTGGTGGCTCAGAACCCCAATGTCGCCAGTTTTGCTTGTTTACAAATCCCTCTAAATGGTAATGGCACTTATCAGTGAAGATTATCTTCTTATAATCAATTTTTCCCTCGTGCACTATGTTCAAGACAGTGTTCGAAAATGTTGTTTGTTTTCTAATGGCTTTTCCGAGTCCATTCAAGTTTGCTGGTGCATCCTTATACAATCCATCTTTTAGATAGCCCCATAAAAAGAAATAGCACTGGTTGAGATCAGGGCTATAGGGCGGCCACTCCATCCCGCCTCTACCTATTTCAACTACAATAGCAAATTATTTCCGGAGGCTCATCAGAAATCAAAACTCTCTCATTTTGTTTCACCGTCGTCGATGGTGGTATCGGACGCACTTTCTTTGCCGGTGCTATTATATACTGTTTCCCAATGCTTTTACGGTCAATATGACGACGATAGTAAAGGACAGAAATAGTTTTTTGCTGGCTAGAATTTTGGCTGGATGTTTGGCTAGATTTTGGATTCATCGAGATGAATCCAAAATTGAGCAAGCAGATTTGAGTAAAGTTGCGATGAATAATACTGAAAAAATGACACAATGATAATTATAATTATGATTTGTGAGAACATCAGGAGTCACATTTGTTACATATTGTTAAACATCGAAATTCATAGATGGCGCGTTTCGAATGTGTTGTCAATGGTCAAGATTTTTCTGCTAGATTCAATTAAATTAATGCGAAAATTCTAATAATAAGCGAAAATAATAATCAACCAATTTCAATTCTCAGCAAATCGTTTCCTTAAAATGACTATGGCTTTATGTTTATCAAAATAGTTTATATCAAACTCAATTTTCAGGAAATCGACTCCCAAAATGACTATGGCTTTATGTTTACTGAAATAGTTTGTGAGAGCTAAAGCAAACTAGTAAATAAACTAGTAAGTAAATAACTATTTAATTAGGGTTCTTAAACACTGATCACTCCAGTGGCCAATCATCATCTCATCAGATAATCTTATCAAATTCAATTTTAATGCTCAGGAAATCGACTATGGCGAATTAGTTAAGAACATTAAATACAGATATGTGTTACATGTGTAAGAAATGAGTAAGAAAATTGAGGATTTTGATTTCCAGATCTATTTTCGCTCATAAAATTTCACAATTCTTTTAAAGAGTTTTTTTTGGCAAAAGGCCATTCACCATCAACCATTGGTTCGTCTTTCCTGCGAATCTTGCAAGCCGGATCCTTATTCTTTTGGCTATTCGTATGCTTTTTCGCATCATAATCATGTTTGAAAGGATTTCCACAATATGGACATTTGTAGCATGTAATACTCTCCTGTCTGAATTCCTCTTCATATGGCAGATCTTCCGCCTCATCTACCATTGTCACTGGCTCTTCATCTCCAAGACTGCAATTGTGGATAGGTGCATAATATTCCGGAATCAAAACTTTAATATAATCTTTTCCATTTATGGTTCGTCTGCCTAAAAATTCGGCAGGGAAGAGATAATTCCCATTTATCACAAACTGAAATTGAATTG